AATGTGCAGGATTCCTCGCGATTTGACTCAATTTTATATGGAGACCGCCCTATCAGAGCTGCTAAGCGCTATTTCATAGCACGTAATATTCGATTGAAAATAATGGGGAGTGTACATCCTCACATCTGATGTCGTTTTTGATTTCAAACCAGTTCGTCTCAAAGTCAGTTTTCACAACGTAAGTGGTCCCATCATACAAAGCTTAATCATAGTGACAATCTACTCTGAAATACCAAAGCTTAGATCAATCATTCTATTTATATTCTTCATTATTTTGTGAAGTGTATCTTTTGAAGTGCTGCAAGGAAATCGATGAAGGTGTATCAGGGCGCCATAGAGGAGTTGAACTAGTCATGTAATACTATGAAAATTAAATTATTTATTAAGTGTTAGATGTGTCTCTTGCTAATAATGATTACATTTTAATAAAAGTCACATAACTTGAACTTAACTGAAAACGACAAACAACAGATATCTATACAAATCGGATCTGCTGGTATTTGAAAATGTCACGTGTTGTCACGTGCTCGTGTACGTTAGTTATACTTGCAGATCAAGTTTCACTATTACAGAATCAAGCAAGACGGCTTTGCTTTTGCAATTTGCAGATTTATTTCATGGTGTCGGTTTGTGATCGCTGATGTCATCGGAATCGGGCGGAGAAGGTAAATGCGGTTCTGGTCTGAGTCCTCGTTACGAATGGTACCAGACGGAGTCGGACGTAGTGGTGATCATCCGCGCGAAAGGGGCAAATGTCGAAAGTGCACAAGTCACGTTTGAGCCTCGTTCGTTGAGTGTGATTGCAGCGAAGGACGATGGCGTAGGAAGATACGAATTAAAGCTGGCGCTATCACGCGAAATCGTTCCAAAAGACAGCTCGTTTAAAGTCTCCAAGGTCAGATCAAAGATCGAAATGAGGATGAGGAAGGCGGTCGGTGGACAGTGGAATGTTCTGGAAGCGTCGCGAGAGCCACCCCCGCAGGAACGTCCAAGTAGCAACGAGATACCGGCTACTGACGAGACGCAAAAGATTGCCAAGAGCTACCCGACTAGCTCGCTGCGGGGCCCGAAGGACTGGGACAAATTGGAGAAGGAGGTGAAGACCGAGGAGGAGAAGGAACAGCTGGAGGGGGACGCTGCCGTCAACAAGTTGTTTCAGAAGATCTACGCTGACAGCAGCGACGAAGTCAGGCGAGCAATGATGAAGTCGTTCATCGAGAGCAAGGGCACGGTGTTGAGCACGAACTGGGATGAGGTCGGGCGCGCCCCGGTCGAGGCCAAACCTCCAGAGGGTCTCGAATGGAAAAACTGGTAATCGGTGATCGTGCCTTTAACAAGGCAACACCGACCTTTACGTGGGCGGTACTGTTGAACTTTGGAGTTTCGATTTTGCCGCTTTATTATCGAATATACGTAAAATGTGTACGGTGCCTGTTTACCCTCAGCGAAAGAGATTTTGCAGGTCGACGTAAAATGCTTTCGTAAGGATTTAGATATTAAAAATATTTTGTTTTACATTGTGTCGAATCTTGAGCTAGTTCGACGGCAGAAATTATTTAAATTGGTTTTCTTGAGCTTTACCTCGTTTTCTTATTTTAGCCTATGGTGACAGCATATGCAAGCTGTGCTGCTTTGAGGGAGAGGTCTCAACATACGTATCCCTTGGAGTGCATAGTCTCGCATCGACAGTCATTCAGTTGGAGGCACAGCTGGTTATGAAAGCCATTAATCAAACAATCTAATTTGGGTTCGGAAAAATTGGTGTTTGTTCATTGTCACCCATGAGCAAGGTTACACTGCAAGAAAAGCTTTACAAAGTAGTGCGCTTCGAATGCTAAATAAACAGCAGTTGCATTCGAAACTGAGTCGTTCAAAATTAGCTCGGGTACTACTAGCAATATTGGCAGTTCTCGCCCAATATGTTTTTTGCTGCTTAGAGCACTTTTTATGTAAATGACTGTGGCATTAAGTAATTCGAGTAACATTAAGTATTAAAGCGGCGTTTTTGCTGATGCTCTCATCTTACTTGAACTAAAGTCATTGTCACCTCAGGTAATTCTGACGATGCAGACAGAGTTAAGAGTAATACCGATGTAGTACCTTTTTACAACATTTTTTGAGGATCGGTTAGGTGAAACGAATAACACATCTGCCTTATGAACAGTTTTGTTGTTTATCGTTACATCGCAAGAATGTGGCTGTATTGTGGTTATTTGTTTCGGGATACTGTATGTGGCCTTTTGACTCCGTACAAATACCAGAAAAATTCCCGAAGTGAGTCTACCAATCTTCTTACCTTAAAGAAGGCCCGTCAGAGACAGGTCGTAACGTCAGTACTGGTCAACTATTCCACTCACCATAGTTTTGCGCGTGTAAAAGTAATCTGTGTTTTATGCTGTTTTTCCGTATGACCATCAACGTAATACTCCGTGTACTTTTCACAAAGAGATCTGTTCATAGTTTGTGCTGGCCTCCAGTTCGACGCTTTACGCCGCTCAGTTGGGTATCAGAAAATTTGTCTCGCTATCGACAGCTTACCGTCACGCCCTACCATAATCTCAAACCAACGGATGTTTCGTCATTATTAGCCTTTTTCGATCCATTGCTGGATGAAAGCTTCTAGAATTTGCAATAATTTTTTTGTTTTCGATTATTTCTATCCATTGTGATCCAGCCAACCTCTTTGACTCATCTTGTTATCGATCTGGAGGTTTTCCTACAGAACGTTTACGGCTTTTTGGAGTCCAGTCTTCTTGCAACGTCTCCTGCCATGTCCCGTCAACTTTTTCACTCGGTAATGATATTGCAAACTCATATTTCTACTGTTACCCATTCGTTTGTCTCCCTATCTCTCGTTTTTATTCTGAACCTTCTTCTCTCCATGATGTGTTACGTAGATTACGTAGTTCTGCAATTTAGGAACAGCTTTCAGGCGCTAGGTCCACGTTTACCCGTACGATGGCACTGGAAGCACAGTGATCGAAAAATTTCCGTTTCAGTTTTCAGAGTAGGAATGTTTTCAGCCTTTCTTCTAAAAGTGCTCAGTGTCACTTTTATTCTTCTACTGATTTTCAACCGGCGGTTTTGAGTTGTAGAGATGACCTGTCGCAGAAGGATATAATTTTGCACTTTTTTTAAGCAAACGTTCGTTGACTTTAACAGGTCATGCGGTCACGTATTTATTAACATCGTCTGAGTCTTCTTGAGGTTTATTTTCAGTCCTGCTTTTCCCTCTTCGATTTTTCTTTAGGGATTTCTTTTGGTAACTTTCAGAGGATCGAAATGTTTTCCGCAGAGTGCAGGTGGTTTAAGTCGTTCCAGTTTTTCTTCAGCCCCTGATTGTCTCAACTTAGTGTCTTAACTTCTTCTAAGGCTAGCGTGAATAACTTCTACATGTTGCGTCTTTTGGTCGAACGTCCTTTGCGAATTTGAACTTGCTTACGCTTTCATGCAGCTTCGCACTGGCAGTTATAATTTTATAAATTATGGCGATAAAGTTTATATATCTCTTCTCGATTGTCTGAGTTCTCAAGGAATACACTAAGTCGAATGCGTTCTCGAAATCGATAATACACTTATCGGGTACGTTTATCCAATATAATTTAGCTACGGTCCTAGCATTGCAGGTTGCATAATTTCGTTCGTTGTTTGCGTGCGCTTGCGTGTTGATTTTCAGGTTATATCTTAGACAGCCAGTCAACACCGCCACCGTGGGTAGGCGATGGTGCTTTTCTAGCAGACAAAAAATAATCTACGTTAAATTTTTTAACGCCAAACGTGTTAGATGCGATTCGTATTCTGACAGTTAATTTTCGTGAAGTCCTCTTCATTTGATAGACAATCAAGTCAGATGCTTAAATGTGTCCACATGCCGCAACACCTCTGATCCGCATCTTATTCCTGATGTCTGATTTCCGTTTATCCACAGATCATTACCTAGGCCTAGAAGTTAACCCCGTTGAAACAAAGATTTTGAGTACCACACTCGACTAATGACCTAAAGATTCATTGGAGTGGAACAACCATCGAAAAAGTCATCGCATCGCATCGCAAGTTTCAAGTACTTCGGCTTTGTACTGGCAAGAGATGGAAACTGCGATTTGAAAGTAGAGTATTTCTCAAAGCTGGCATCTGTGAACTTCAGGCGACTTTCTAAAATGTAACAAGGTCGATCCAACTGAACAGCAACAAAGATCATCATGCTGAAAGCCTCTGTCTTCTCAATTCTGATGTACAGCCTTGAAATATAAACTCTTTTAAAGCGCCATCAAATGATGTCGAGCACTTTTCAGTAGCACTGCTTATGGAATATTCTGAAAGTGCGATGGCTCCATCGAAGGAAGAATGAAAAGATTTTGGACACTACCGACCTGAGATTATTGTCTAAAGAAATCAGGGACCAGCGTTTGACTAATTCACAACATTCTCTTTTGGGAAGCAAAGGATGGCCGTAGGCGCGTCGAAGAACTGCTAGAGGCAGACTTGCTTGAGACGAAGAACATGATCTCGTCATCACCTGAATCACCTTGAGAAGCCAAAGCATGAGATATCTTTCATCTGGTAATCTGTTCTTAACCTCAGATGACGATGACAGTAACTTTCGTTTTATTCATGTTTCCTTTTAAACCAATCTTTCTCCCAGCCGCGGATAGACGGTTTAAGACGTTCCATAGCCCGGTGGTTGTTTCTTTAAGAACTACATCATTGGCATATTTTATATTCGAAATTTCGCCGCATACGAGGGCGTGT